ATATGGTCACACATATCACTCTGGGATCAGTTGTTGCATTGCTGGTGTCACTGTTCAGACATGTGCATGGCAATTACTGTCATTGAAGTCATCCAGGCTGATGGGGGAGTGTGAGAGAGTACAGGGCTGGTGGAGGACTGCCAACCCTCCCTATACTTTTTGCCTTATAGACATGTTGTCGTCAGAGCTCTTCCCCAGTGTTCAGGATGCTCATGCAAATTCACCACTTGAAGTTTTTGAAGGGGCTTACTGTCATTGCCTGCACTAGAGTTGAGTGTCTTATGGTTAAATGTCTCAAATATCTGGTAACCAGAACCAGGCAGCCTTCAGCAGTACATCAGAATATTAGTGACCATGAATAATACTTGCTGTAATGAGTACTGAGTAAATGTAGTCCTCCTGATGGGGACAGCAGTGCCTCTGTTCAGTGATCACTCAGTGTGTTTCATAATCAAGTGTTGTAACCCCATGCATGTGGAGGCTGTTGGTGCAGGGCAGTCACTGGGGGAGCAGTGGTGAGTGTGCTGGCTGAGTGGCTGGAGCTGAGGATGTCAGGTGAGTCCAGTGGTGGAAAGAGCATCATGAGATCTTACTGATGGGGGAGAAGTTGTCCCTGGGGATGACTGCAACAACAGCATAGGAACTTCCCCTATTGTCTCCTTGTTCAGTTTGGACAGGAGGCTCCCTGGCCAGGAGGGACAACAAAAACTCATGCTCCCATATCTAATTCAGTTTTGGTGGAATGCTCACTCTTCTATGGAGAGTATGTGGATTAAGCCACAGGAATGAACGCTGAGAATGCTCTTTGGCCACTCCTGTGTTCAGTCCATTCCCTACCATCTCCTGGCTGTGGCAGTCTCCAGTGGAGAAGTGGTAGCAAGTTACATCTCCTCTGCCAGTGTCTGTGTCTTTATACTCCTTATTTTACTGTCTCTGCTGGACTAACCAAAATAAAATGTAGTTAAGGTGCAGTCATTTAAGTTCCCACCTTTGATTGTCACAGTTGCGGAGAACAGATCTGATAAGCAAGCAAAAAGGCATATCTTTATGTGACAGTGGGACCATGAATGTTGTAAATAAGGGATTCCAGTAGTGTTATTGAAATAAGTAGAGTTCCTGACAGACTATGAGATTACTTGTTTGGGAAGGTGAAATCCTGATTTCCTTCAAAGCCTTCGTCTGCCTGGCAGGCTGGCTTCTGCCTACAGCTTGGCATTTGTTGATTCTAGTTGTGTAAGGACTCATTTGCCACCTTGCTGGGTGTAGCAGCCTGTGGTGTTCCTGTTGCAAGCTCTGGGCAGCTCTTGGCTCTTCAGAGCCTGATTATGAGCTGAATATATACTCCATATCTGGGCTGTATATTTACAGGCCCTTCCCTGTGGCAGTGCTGGGCCTGTGATAAGTGGGAGGAGGCCCACTGGAAATCTACTGAAGCAGATCTAATTGTACCAAATAGAGCAGCTCAGTAGAGTAGAAAATAGTTCTTATATATCTACCCGAAGAAGATAATGACCTTTTAAATAACAGAAGCAATTTTATTTCAATGCCCCAATTATTCTGAACTCTCAAATGTCAAAGTGCCAAGCACTTTCAAAATAACTTAATTTAGACATTTATAGCACTTAGACACTGCTAGTTTCTTATCTAAACTAATTATGGGTTGTACCGGAAATTGCAAAGCATCCCAATTAATGTTATTTTTTATAGTGATACATAGGAGTGACCTTTGCCATTTGCCATCATCATGTGCACAGTGATTTACTAATTTTGGCTTTTGAATTAGTTCCCTGGCAGGATGGAGCTCTTCTATCCTCTGGTTGCTCTTTGAGAGCAAGCAAGGAGGAAGTAGAGGTAGAAGTGAGAATAGCCATGTTTGCCTGAGGGAGCTGAAGGGCATATTTTCCTGTGAGAGCAGAGTTCAGTTGCAAAGCAGGACCATTTAAGATGAAGAGGTGCCATGTAGAATAATAGTGGCTGGCTGGGAAAATTGTTGATCTTCCTCTGATCTGGGTACCTAGACCAGAATTCTTGTTGTGTTTCCCATGGGACTAGTTCAGGGGAAAGAGATGTGTAAAGCTGCTTAACTGGGTGCCTGAAAAATCCCCTCATAGACAGTGCTGAGCAGTTTCCCTTCTAATTCCTATGCACAGCAGTCAGAATCAGAGGTGGAGGAAATGTTGCAGCACCACTGAGGAATATCCAGTGACTTCTTGTTTGCTTTCATGGTAAAGGGAGGACGTACGTCCAGTTACTGTGTTTGAAAGTGATAGCTGTTGCCCTTCCCCATGTGCTTTTTACTCTATATATTTTATGTGAAGTCTTTGTTCTGTGCTGTGCTCCCCCACCCTCCCCAGTGTCAGGAGAGACACTCTTAGCAGTCAGAGAAGTTCCTGTAGTCCTTTTCTGAGGATGACATGGGGTTGTGGGTAGCTATGTACTGAAGCTGCTGTCAACTGTGCCCAAGACAATGCCAGCCTGGAACAGGAAGGCAAAAGTCCCTGAAGGTGATCTTGTCTTGTGCTGCTCTATGTACAGAGCCCTAATGCACTGTTGTGTTCTCATTCACTTCCTTATGGTAAAATATTGCTGCAGACAAATAGGTAGGATTTTAACATGGCTTAACTCAAATGAAATCCATGAGGGGAAGTTTGTGTTCGACTCAACAGCTTACATTGGAGAGGGGCACAGGGAACAGGTAGTTAATTCCTTTTTCAACCTTCCCTTCAATACTTTTAAACTATGGATAAGGCTGTTTAGACAAAAGGGAGATGTTCTGTATGTCTACTGGGTAAAAGACAAAAAGATAAAGTCTACATACTAGGAAACATTTTGAATGATTAGGGCTGTGGAAATGGATGGTGATAAGAATATGGAATCTTATCACTGTTAGTTTCTAAGAAGAGGTTAGAGCAGCTTCTACCAAGGTAAGCTGGGCTGAGTTGGTCCAAGATCAAGTAATAGGTTAGCTGACATCTCAGAATCTGTCCTATCTCCACTTTCTCTTTTTGTTCTGAGAGGAATAACACAAGCTCAAGTATCTTCTATTGACATCCAGTCTTTCAATCTACCTTGCCTCCCAGCCAAGGTAGTAAAGTGGAATCAAACCAGCTGATGGAAGAAAGCACATGGAATGAGTATATTGCAGATTAGTGCAGAAAACCCAGAAGAGAAATTGTTATGCAGCAGAATTTAGGAATCTTCTGTTTTACCCTGCCAGGTTAGACTGAAGCCCAAAAGGATCTTTGCACCTTGATGTCACTCACCAGAAGTGTTTTGGAGAAGCCCCCAAAAAGCAGAATTTAGCCTACAAATTAAACATCAAATGCAACCTTATCTGGATTGAGTCCTGCTATGCCAGCAGAACCTGGCCAAACCCTGGCTAAGGACACAAGTTTACTGAACTTCTTAATGAAGAGAACCCCCAATTATGTTACAGTTATACTAAAACAAATAATTTGCTTGTAATTACAGAGATAATGACATGCTGACCACACCTACCAATTAGAAAGTTGTAATAAAGGGTAATAAAATACCTTTTCCTTGGGCTGCAGAATCAACCCCCACACAGCCTGTGACACTAATATGATTTACTCCTATTTGCTGATAGAGGATTCTAGTAATAAAATTTAATGTGGAGGAACAAGGTGCATTTAACCAAAGTTGTAAACATACCTAATTCTATTTAAAGCTATAGGGTGCAGTACATTAGCATTTAACAATCTAATACTAAATTGATGTGAAGCTAATAGAGCTGTATTTGTTAAAATTACAGCACTAGACCATGTTTTACCAATGACAACAGAAGGAGTAACCAAAATAGTATGACTCAGCAGACTCCAGCTGCTGCTTAATAAGGTATTAAGAGTCTTCATGGGAGCTCCTGTCATAAAAGAACAGTGGACTGCATTCAGCTCCACTGCTGTTCTCCTGAAGCCAGACGAAGTTAGACCAGGGATTAATTTGCCCTTGCAGTTCCTTTTAGAAGGAGGTAAATCCATTTATTCTACAATTCTCACACTAAAGCATATTATACTCAGTGAAATTTTCTTCTCTGTAGTCTTTCAAGTAAATTGCTTTGATGCTTAAAGATGGGCAATTAATTGCAAGGTAAATGATGATTTTTTCTTTCTCCAATGATATGATCTGATATTATTAAATCTAGGTGAACATTGAATAAGAAAAGGCATAGGAAATGTCTGCTCAGGAAGATGAGTGTTCTCCCAAGTAATATTTCTGGCCTTGTTTCACTCAGCTGGTCTTTTGCCTTTCAGGATCTTGCTGTCATCAAGTTGTTTACAAATGGAAAACATTTGAAAAGCCTGGAGTTTTCTGAAGAATGAAGAATTGAATTCCAAATACTGGAATTCTCTAAATGCTGAGTAAGAGATAAACACATATCCTTGAATCATTCTCTAGGAAACAAAAAATCCTACACAGACTAAAAGAACATATCTTACAAAAAAGGGTAATTTATTCAGCTCAATTAACTATTACTTTTGGGAATTAGATATCAAACATAAACAAGAATATATAGGATATTAATACATAAAGAATGGTATTCATTAACATGCTGGGCATCAATATACAGTAGAGAATTCTTCTGAACAATGGGCACAATGGCCAGTTGTAATGTAAAAGGAATGTTTATAGCCAAACTTGAAAGTTTTCACAACTAAATGGTTAAATCACTTACGTGTTAGCATTTTATTTTTAATTCCAAAGGAACAACTAATAAATTCTATACCGTTTAAAGGCCTTTTGAACAGCTGTATGCATAAGAGATGTCCTTTCTGAATAGTTAGTCAACTCTGGCTGTTCCAAAACTGATCCCTGATTGTTGGATCACTCTTTAGCACCAGTTTGGTTTTGGTCAATGAGTTGATTGCTGTTGTCACTGAAAGTCCAGCACCCAATCAGAGAACAAGATGCCATGCCCTTTTGGTGGGTGATTAACTCCTGGGATAATGAAAAGGTGAAACAATAATTTTCTTGACAGCTCACAAATGGAAACATTAAAAATGCAAATAAGTATTAGCAAACCTATTGATAAAAGCTGGCCTTAGTTTGGAAAGAACTGTTTCGATGAAGGACTAGAACTGGAGTTAGTACTGTACATAATGATCAGCCTAAAAGCTTTTCTTAATTCTTTCTCATAGAAGAGATTTTTATCCAATGAGGAAGCAGGGGACTGCATTTTATGTTTACAGATCCTGGCTAGGCAGTAACAGATTACATGTGCTGCCTAATCTCTACCTCTGTTCGTAACAGTTAAAAAGCAGTTTACATAAACTCACTTATTTTGGTGAAACCCTACAAAAGGCAGTGATGTGCTTTCTCCCTTGGTTGCATGTCCCCATCCTTGCATTGTTGCCCCTGCCCTCCTCTCCTGCACTCCCATGCAGTAACAGGAACAAGGGAATGAGTGTTCCTGTGATGATTCCCAGCTGTGCTCTGAGCCCTGATGTGAAGTTGTGCTATCACTAAAAATGCATGACCTATAAGGGAGGAAGCAGCCTGGACAACCTTAGTTAGGATTCCAAAACCCAAGGGCTGAAAGTGCTACTCCAAAATCCACATAAAATACTGCTGAATGAGTGGCCTGTCGCAGGGCTCCACCCCAGACCTGGAGAAGACCTGGCACATGCCAAGTATCAGATCTCCGTGACCTGATGGTGAGCTAAAGAATCCATGCTTTAACCTCTCCATGAATTCCACAGTTACTCGAGGGCTAAAGCTTCCCAAGGGCTGAAAGGTGTTGGATATCAGACTTTCCCTGAGCTTTGGTGAAATTTGGACACTTGGAGATACATGAGCTTGAAAACATCAGACCAACTATGCTTCATGACTGAAATGCCCAAGAAGCTCATTTTCCATGAATGTGTATGAAAGGAAAAGGAAGAATGCCTTCTCAGTTATCAAGAGGTAAAGAAAGAGAAAGGTAACTTTGTGTCCTCACATTGGGTTCATTTCCCTATCTCATGAGCTCTGGTCTTTCCAAAGAAATAGCTCCAAAGTCAGCAGGGTGTTATAGAATCTGCTCCATACTAAAGGAAAAACTGTGTGATTTTTCCTCTAAATCAGCAGCTCAGTAATGCAGGCCACAGGAAGAACCTTTTGCAGGTTTGGTAGCACCAAACTAAACCAAGGCCAAAAGTAGTGTCCTGGTTCTGCCAGTCTTTTACTCACTATCATGTTTTTCCTAGTCCCAATCAGAATTAAAAAAGATCAACTCCTGGAAAATGTTCCCAAGCTATAAATATTCTTCCTTAAATCACTGCAGTTTAAGTATAAGTGATTCCTTTGGATTATTTTTGAATATTTTATTTCAAGCACCTTACTAAAAGTAACATAAGTTTTTAAAGACAATGTCATTTAGGAATGGAATTTGAAAACATAGAAGACAAACCTTTTTAACTATTTCTGGAGGGGGGGAAAAAGCTGAAAAAGTAATTTAAGCTTTTCCTTTGCTGTAGAAAAAAGTCTCAGCTTTACTGAGTTAATATTTTCTGATGGGATAAAATGCATTAAAGTGACCATTTTCCTAGCCAGTGGTCTTTGCCTTCAGGAGCAGGCTGATGGGCATGGATCCTGCCACTAGTCCTCCTGAGGCTTGTTAAGATGTTGATGTTTGCAGCTGGACTCTTCCCATTAACATTAAAGAAGGAATAATGTTTAGTGTGAAAAATGCCCCAAGTGGAACTTAGTTCATTTACAACAGGGGTATAGAACTCTACAAAGGGTATCACTTGTAGACCAGCTGCTTTTTCTATGATTACTTTCAACTACATGGTGTTTAGAAGTCTCACAGAAAAATAGAAGTGCATGAATGGAAATAAAAAAATAAGGACATCTGTATGATTTTTATAAATAAACAGTACAGCAAGAATTAAATAGAACACAGACATAAGACATTTATACAGGCATGAACTATTACAGCTTGTTCTCCTCAAAGAGTATCTGTGCGTAGACTGTCGTACTGGGAATGCCTTTGGCTTCCTGAATCGGCTTCATAAGTTCAAGTTCAGCATATGTTAAATTCTCCTCTGCGATTTTTGGCTAGAAAACAGAACCAACAAATTAATTATAATGTCATTACCACTGAATGTGGATATTCTCTACAATGAGCTATATTTCTTCTCGCACCCATGCTAATTCTACTATGCTGTTAAATTCTATCTATGCTGTTAATCAGTTTATTCTACATTACAGTTAGTTCATAGAAGATGAAATAAAAGTAAATAACATTAAAAAGAAGAAACAAGAATAAGTAGGCTTTTCAGGTTCATTTCTAATTTCTCCTTGTTTCAAAAACCCTGAACATTTTGACAATTCAAATATTGCATATTTGAAAGATGTATGTTAGCAAAATGTTCAGCCTCCTTAATACTAAATTTCCTGATTTTATTTATGGCAGATTTCACAGTTTGAAAGATATATACCAGATTTACTTCCCAGCTGTAAACCTTGAACCAGTTACATCTCTAATCACAGTTACCCACACTGCCTCTCAGCATGTTTCTTAAGAGAACAAAAGACGTTAAAAATACACAGAAGGCAGAAAAAAAATTGACAGAATTACTGCCATTCCAATGGAATTTCACTCCTTTTGCCAAGCTATAGATGAGTTCAGAGTTTAGCACAAAGGCCATACCACCAAAGCTGTCTGCTGTGTTACAGTGGTTGAGTTTTAGACTTAAAACTATAAAATTTAGCTAAGAGAGATGTCTATAAAAATGTACCAAACAAATTTCACATGCATGGCAGAAGCTGCCTATTGCTATTGGGGACTTCATCCAGACTCAGGTGGCTTAGAGGAGGAAAATCTTTTCTTGTGCTCCTGTGCTTGACAGCTGCTCACACTCAGCGTTTCAGGTTGTTTCCCAGAGCTTAGAAAAGTTTATGCTTTTCTAGCATTAATTTGACCTTATTCCTGCAGGACTGGCATCTCTGCACTTCATTATTCTCATGGTCTTCCCTCCCTCCCCCACTTGCATAGGTAGTGCTATTTGATCTCAGCTTCTGGTCCTCATTCACGATGAAATGCTTCACTGTTGACAACACAGAAAATTTCCTGCTTTCATTGAATTCTCTGATGTAACGACATAAAAGGAATTCCTGTGGATTGCAGACAGATCTTGACTGTAACAGAAATAAAATCGCACATATCTTTTTGTTGTTAGTGTATTAGGGCTGAACTGAACCGCAGTGTTTAGAAAGACATCTGCCCTACCCTGGCCTTGGCTTAAAGAGTTAGAAAAAACTCTTGGTCAGCTGCTGTGATGCTTAATTAATTTTTATATTCCCTCTTCTTTCTATCCTGAAAGTATTAGCCTGTGTTTCCAGGCACTTAAGTTGTTTTTTGCTTTTTTGTATGTTAAAGATTCCTTTTGAGATTTCAGAACTATATATGCTCATCTATTCAGTAGGTAGTACAGAGGCTAAATGCAGGAGTTGATTTTATTCTCAGTGTATGATAGCATATCTAGTTTCTGTTTGAAGGTATTGGGAGTTTTGCTGCCAGCTTCACTGGGTGTCACATCAGACCCTCAATACATAATGATACACTGCATGTGAAAAGCCACCTAAAAATGAATGTGACAAAACTTTACAAACTCTTGTTCACTGCCAGAGTAAAACTCTACATTTCTAAGACTGACAAAGAGCATCTGTTGAGGTAGAAATGTTTTCATTGTTCTGTAGGAATCAGTTGCTCAGGGCAAGCCAAATCTGTATATGCTTTCCCCTTTGCTGTTTAATCATATTTCTTACATTTCCATTTAGAAAATGCTGCTTGTCCTAAAATAGCCACCCCAACACCCAGCTCATGTAAATTTTAGAAGTAAGATTTATGAAATCATATTGTCCAGGTGTTTTATTATATTATCTCAAAATTGCATTGTTTTCCAGTGTAGATTATCTTTTTATTCTTACTTTATTCTATTATGTTTGGATATGAAAAATAACACTAGGTTCCCCAAAACAAGTCATTGGGCAGTAGTGGCTGATGTGTTGCTTTCATACATTTTTATGATGTTCCTATAGTAAACATAATTTAATAAAGCCAAAACACACTAAATAAATAATTGCATCTAGAAAAGCAATAAAACCAAATAAAATTAGTACTTTCATAAGTGGAAAAGGTACTTCAATTACTGCTACAAGCAACAGCACACCATAAAATGTGTAGAATAATTTCCCTTATGCATATTTCTAGTATGTAATAATTTGATTGAAAATATGAGGAAACACACAGGAGGTTCAAAATTGTGAAAGGTATACAGTTTTCAGCAAAGGATGTGTAATAACAGTGCATGGAAGCCAACACTACTCTAAGTACCTATGGTAGCCAGGGTTTTATTCCATACACTCTTCTGCACTTCATTTATCAACCACGTGTTTAATTTAATTTTGCTGGTTTGTTTGTCCAAAACCAATTTCTTTTTTGAGCAGAGAGGGAAAGAAAACTAATTCTACCATTTCATCTCTCATTTGGACTGGATCATGTTTTGGCAGTGTAAACCTGGAACCATGCCACCAGCTCCTTTTTGGAACAATCGTGTGGCTTCAATAACTGACGTTACAGGTGGGACGGATGGTAGGGCAGAAGAGGAAGAGGCAGTGAATGACTGGCCATACAGTGTTTATCTTGTATGTGTGTTTTCTCATCTTGGGATCACGCACTTTGCCACAATTAGGAAGAGTCATGATTTTCCAGTGTATCTTCTGGCAAATGCAAAATGATTCCTCTTCCAGATTTCTTCTATTTTAATTTTAGTTTATTCCAGTCACAGGGCTTCTCATGGGCAACTACTCAAAAGAGTTCACTTATAGGAACACTTTTCTTATTGAACTATCTGCAAGGTTTATCATGTGAATATTTAAAAGAAACTAAAGCGTGTGTATATCTAGTTTTGGTTTTTATTGAGTTTGTCTATTTTGTGTTAGAAATTAATTAGAAGAGTTGGATTTTGAATCAAAATTATTCTGATTTTTATGTCATAATTACCAGGAATGTCAATTTTGCTCTTCCTAGGCTTAGCTAGTTTGTTTCTTGGTAGCCTCAAGGATGTTTACTGATTTAACTAAGAGTACTTTTATCCAGATTTGTAATCAGGTATGAAGAAAACAAGCAAATAAAAACCTCATATATTTAACTTGTCTGGAAAAACAACTGATGCCAACTTGCACTTACAGATTACTCTAATCTCACTGTTCCATGACTACCCTAGTTATCATGAAGATGACAAAAAAATGTGAATTTCTAATTATAAAAGAAAAAATCCTTGATTCTATTTTACTATTAAAAACAGGCAGAAAAGGCCTGACTTCCCAGTTCCTTTCAGTCTTAAATATTTTAGAGACTAGTGCTGCAGACATTTGCCTTCAAATTCAGTGTCTGTATGCAATGCAGTTTTTGTTTGGGATATGATACAGAATGACTTTTACAAAGGACCAGGGGAAAAAAACCAAAAACAAACTATTGATGATACTGAATTTTCAGCTCTGAGTTTTCTGGATTTGACAAGCATCTGTCCCAAATTGTGTCCCTGCTCATGGAATAGAGTTTGGAACTAAAGATGATCTATAAGGTCCCTTCCAACCCAAGCCATTCTGTGATTCTATGAAATTCCAGTTAGAGCTTCACAGTATTTTTAGTAACTCCGATTTCCTGCAGGTACACTTGAAAATGAAACTCCACCCTCACTGGCGTGCCCTGCACTCAGGGGTGAACGGGTTAGGTCAGCAAGGACAAACCTTGACAATTCTGTATATGTTTGCTGGTGTGATTGCCAGTACATGGCACATTGCCACCTCTGGCCTGGCCATGCTGTCCTGTTGGGTGCACACTGTGGTGCCGGGGGATGCTGTAGGAAGTGCAGATGGGAAAGGCACAGAGTCAAGAGGTGGTGCTAAGGCTTGTTTGATAAATTTCTCTAGAAACTGAACTTCTCTCTATGTTACTCCACAGCACAAAGAAAGCAGCCTTGCCCCAGTGCCATTAACTAGCTCTTTCTTAGCAAGCACATCCTGGAACTATGATTCTTCTCTCTCCCTTTCTATTGCAAAATCCAAACTTGAATCTTTGGCCTTCTTCCTTTCATGTTTGAGAAACATCCTGTTTTGTAGTCAGTCAGTAAAGAGCTCCACAGAAAAAATGCAGATACTGTCCAGATGGCACAGCTCAGGAGCATCCTGTGTCACAGCCTGAGCACACTGCATCAGAAAGTGTCTAGACAGGACTCTCCAGGCCAACTGCATGGGCTTTGACCACAGGAACAGATTGCTGGTTCTCTCTGCCTGAATGCCCAGAAGGGAGGAAACTGCATGCTGTATGCAGCCTAAGGAAAAGGGGGTAGCCCATCTTCTCCTCTGCATATCTCCTTTTCAAAAGCATCTGTTTTTTGAAGCTGTGGGAGGGGATGGCGTATGGCTGCCAGCTTGGCCATCACTGGAGGGTTAGTCATGGAGGTGAAGGTGAGGGTGGATTGAAATAAAGATCCAGCATGTTTGGTGGACAGGCTGAGCCACCAGGACCAGGGGAGAGAGCACGTGCTAGCAGTGGGGTTAAGCACTGTAGCTTCAGAGACAAAAGTCTCTGGACAGTCCTATTTTTAAATATACACCAGAAAACTACTCTATAATCTGTAGTCTTTCTTGTGCTGAAATCAGTAGTGTTCCTGAGGGCCATAGATACACTTTATGCTCAAACCCTATGAACTTTAGTGGGATGACTCCCTCATTAAGGTAATACTTTAACTCAGGAGTCAGAAAGAGATTTTCTTTTTTTTTTTTTTAAGAGCTTCAACTCTTTACCGATGTCAGTGACTTAATTGCAGCCAGAAAGCCAGAGATTCCCCTAGAAACAGAGGAGCTTCAAAAATTACTTCTGCAGAAGTTCTGAAGCTAGATCTGCAAAATGAGTTATCCTCTAGAAATGCAACTACTGGCCAGTAAGAGTGCTGAAGTATCAAGAGAGGCATTCAGTGCCAAAATTAAGAAATACGACATTGAAAAATATGGAGATTAGGAAGTATGACTTCTAGTGGCACTATCAAGTTAAAAAGGACATTTTTTTTCCATTGAGATGCCTACTTTTTACTCCCTAAAGTATAAAATATTTCCCATACTCCCTGGGAACAATATCTACAACAGTTTGTGAAGGCTCTTTCAGCATTGCTTCTAAATTTTGCTATTGAATCCCACAGAAGTTATGATAACAAAGTTGGGGAAAAAGATGATTTAATAAGTCCCATTGAATGAGTTTTGAGGGAAGAGCATCCTCACCTTTGCTAAAACTCTATTCCTTTTACAGTTGCAGTTATTCCTAGATTCTAAGCCAACACTGCTGGAAATCAGGCTGATTTCTTCTTATCTTTCAAAAAAAAGCCAAGGAAGTAATTAAAAGTTTTCACTTCACTGGTGACACTTTTATCACACAAACAACATCTGAAGAAGGATTTTGTAAATACACAAGTCTCTACCCAATTCCAAGAAAAAATTTTATGTATTTATACAAATTATTCCTACTTGGATGTGAAGATAGCAAACTCTGATCAGAATGGGAAAGCAGGCATAACTCAGTAGTTTTGAATATGTGGTGTTCTGAGTGTCAACCTGAATGTGCAAATGATATTCATGTCCTGTGGACATCTCACATCCTAAGGAGAGCCTGTAAAAAAAAAAGGATTATTCATCTTGCAGAGGGAGGAATAATTAGGACTGGATGGAAATTTTAAAGGATCCCAGGGAGTCAGTGTAGGAACAGCAGAAACCAACTCTTGTGTACGTTTGAAGAACTAAGACCAAGGGGATCATTTGTAATACAGGATATATTTACCTGATTTCAAAGTGTTATGATTATATGATTTAGGAGAGTGCACTAAAGTCAGCAGCAGAATCAGGAAGATTCCCTACAACCTGTCTTATCTATGCAGGTATTCCTACCCTTAAAATTTAGTGTGAAAATGAAGTCAACAGTAATTTTGCAGAAGTAAAGATTCCAGGGTTTGGTCTAACCTGAAGTCACATCCTTTGCATTGGTTGTAGTGAATCACATAGGAGCTCCTCAGCTTGGTGGTTCAAACCTTCATGTAAAGACACTAAAGCCTTTTCATTTAGATGGTATTCTATAACTGACACTCTTGGGCTATGACAGCTAATCTCTAGGAGGCAATAAAGGCTTACCAGAAAATTTGGTTGAGGAAGTATAAGATTTATCTCTACCAACTCAAAGGGCTAAGTACTTAAGGCTATAGCAGAACAGCCCTTAGAGAGGAGTTTGTGGGTCCCTAGAATTTTCTTCTTTCTAATGACTCTCTGTGCTTCTTGCATGCTATAAAAAACATCCCTTTTTGCATTGCAGCATCTCTATTTCCTTTGATCTGTAGACATTTCTCATTGATGCTAATAGAGAATGACACTGATGGGGAATATTTTTGCAACAGAGGGAGCATAGAATTGTTATTCTGGCTCAAGCAAAAGCAATATGACTTAAGCAGAGTATTTAAAAGGCTTTACTCAAGGCTGTGCAATTGAACATGATATTAGGCTTTCTCTCTATTTTTTTTTTAATTTTCATTGAGATTATGTCCATATTTTATCCAGATTATTGTGTTCTTGTAAAATTATACTGCAACCCACTCTAGCACGTTAACAACAAAAGAAATTCTCTAGCTTATTATAAACATCTTTCAAGAAACCAGAAGCACATGTCCTCTGGAAATAATTTTGCTGGTATTTAGGTTATTACAAAAAAATTTCCCAAAACACTGGAATTATTTCGTAATGTTCCTTTATACTCTAGCTTGTTATCTTAGGTTTTCTAGAATATTCTCCTGGTGCCCCAGTACGGTACCTTCCTTGGGTTGCACAAGGAAGCTGCAGAAGTAGTCCAGAAACTCAGCAATTTGTGTCTGCCTCTGCAGTGATGATTACCTGGTAACTATGTGCCATCAGTGAAAAAAAGACCTAGTGTAGACATCAGCTGTGCAATAATTATAGTTTGAGAAAAAAGTTATTTTATCCTGCTGAGATTTGGCAGAATGATGATAATACTTTTTTGCCTCAAAGCAGACAAAAAATTTAAAATCTGAGAGATTTTTGACAATTAAAAAAATGGAGTGACAAGTTTGCTGAAAATAAATAAAATGTTTCATTTAGATAAATTTTATATGTCTTTTTCTCTGTATTTAATAACATTTTTTATCTTTTTTGAAACTTCTTTTACTTCAATTAATTTTCTCACTGAAAAAATACTTTAAAAGCAGAAAAAATGGGTGTTTTTCTTTTTTTTTTTTGTCCTAAGAATACTAAAACATAGAGAACTGTGTAGTAAAGGGAGGCGAGAGGAACAGAAATGGGAAACTGCTCTGAGGAGTATCCTGCTCAACTTCTGAATGTGCCTTATAGACTGACTTGTGTTTACTTTACTTTGTTCTTTATTGCACTTTATTGCTAGGTTACTTTTTGACTTTAACTCATATCCATAGATTGTGTGTTTTCTGAGGGCTGCTATGTCTCTCCAGGTGCACTTTGAGGTGAAATATGAAAGGGAAAAGAGCAACATATGGAAACAACTGCCAGAGTCAAGTCCAACAGCAAGGCATTAAAACAGAGTCTGCTGTGTGCATGCGACAGGGAAGACAAAGCTGATTTCATTGTTTGGAAAGGCCCTATTCCTGCTCACCTTCAAAGTGTTTGAACCTTGACTGGGGTTGCACAGCAAGATGGGAAGAGCCAACAGCTATTTGAGGCCTATCCTTGGAATTATTCCAGAAAGAAAAAGCATCTGGAAACAGATTTACTTCAAGTTCAGCATGTGTTGATGTGCTTTATTGACCTGCAGAAAGAGTCTGAGTGCTTTAACTGGTGAGAGCTTTTCCTAAGAGGGCTGAAGACTAACTGATGTGCCTGGGCACAGGGATTAATGCAGCATGCACAGCAAAGGGTGGCTGTCACCCCTGGTGCCAAGTGCTCTCATCTGTGTCTTTGTCCTCTTAGCACAATTTTGGCCTGCCACTATTACCTACCTGGACTTAAGGCTTTTGTCATGGACTTTTAAAACTCTACCTTTTCCTCTGCTGAAACTTGACCTGTATTAGCAGAGTCTGGCCAAGGGGCAATCCCTACAGGACAAGCAGAGGAGAGATGAGCTCCATACCCAAGCAGAAGAATTGCCTAGGATAGCTGAGCTATTCTGAAGCCACCTGGCATTACGACCAGGTATCCAGGGTTGTACTCTGACCATACTTTGGAGGTTATTTACTGACAATTGGTGGGAAGGTTCCCAATTCTAACCCTTACCAGAAAGGCATTTGGGTTATTCCAGTGGCCTAATTTTAGGCACCCACCTTCACCTAAGTTAGAGAGTTAGTCTCTCTGGGCTCTCTCTCTATTACCAGAGAAGGGAGAAAGGAATCCCAAAAGGCAATTCAGAGCAGTAGTCTGAATTACTGAGAGCATCAGACTCCTACTCTAACTTGTGTCTCTTTCTATTAACTATACAGGGAGCCGAAGTTAGTTGGAGTAAAACTGTCTCTCTCTGCTACTGCTGGATGTCTTGTCCAGGTACTGCTTTGTTATAAAAGCAGAGAAACATCTCACCATCTATCTGGTTTGTCTGGCATGTGTCTGCAGGGGTATTTTTCAAACAGAAACTCATATCCAAGAGAAACTGTCATATGAGGGGTTTTTTCCTTAGTATGAGCTATACAAATACATCATATTCCTGCAATTCAAGTTATTCCTGACTTACACCAGTGTAGTGCAGAATCAGGCTTGCTGTTTCTGACTTGAAAAGTCTCAAAAGCAGTTTGTATAATCATAACCAGTAGAGTTATGATTCTGTCATTAACTAGTACTTTTTCCAAAGCACCAGCTGCCAGGAGCATGTGAGACTCAATAGCAGGTTTCATTTAAGAACAGGCTAAATATGTAGACACGACAACTGCTAGGAAGCTGGAAAACATAATCCAGTGTAACGTAATGCTCAAAATGAAAAGAGCCAAGATAATTCCTAACTTGAAAAAATATTACTTAAAAAAAAATAGAACCTGTATGATTTTTAAGCCAATTTATAGTTTCTGCATCTAGAGTTCTGGCAACATTACAGCATTTGTGTTGAGAGAGAAGAATATGCAGAAAATGATGTCATAGAAAATTACTTACCAGGATCAGTTTTCTTTGAGGTTTCAAGAGCTTGGGCTTAGGGAAATTATTGGCAATTGGAGCTATAAAAATAAACGTTAAGGGATCATTTCATATTATTATCATTCCCTGTAATTTTTAGTATATATATTAGCAATCTGTAAATTACAGATTAATAGCAAATAAGAAGCAAATACATGTATTTATACCAGAAATAAACTGTATTTCAGGTAACATATTTTACAATGAAGCATAATGCTCATGAATTAGAAAATTTCATAAGATTAAAGAATCTGATACGCAAGACATGCTGTTTGTGTGCAAATGATACAGCAAATATACCCACTGAGAACTGATCACTTGTGATCTAACCCACAGTAAACCTTCAGGTCCTTTCCCTCCTGTCTCCCACTGGCTTAGCATTGGCAGTGGTGCTCTGAAAGTACACCCAAGAGTTTGTGAGACTGGCCCCAGAGTCACAAATCCTCTTTGAAAGCAAGGTCCCCAAAGGGGCTGGTCTTTATCTGCCCAGCTTGCTTGACTTTCCAAGTGCACCTGCAATTTTAAGTGTGCAATTTGCTGCCTTCCCTCAGAATACCTCCAACACGTAATTTCAACTTGCCTAATTTTAATCTTCTCTTTGAGCAGGGTGAATATTGCTACAGAGGTTTCTCTCTCTCCTCTGGTTAGTGGGAGCTGAGATCTCTTGCTTGGACTCAGTGAGTAGCTTCTCACGATGGCTAAAGCTGAAGGGAGATGAGAGCCTGGTCCCTGAAGCAGGTACAGGCCTTTTTTTCCCCACTGATGGGAGCAAGCACAGTTCACCTCACAGGCAAAGTCAGTGGCAGAGTGCAGGAGTCCTGACATCCCATACTTTCCTGTTCCTCCATGGTTGTGCCCAGGACTTGAAATACCTTTTTATCTCTGTTTTCATACCTTTTGCTGGAATGGCTGGTGGCTGCTCCAGTTTCTCTTTTTCTTTCTTTTTCTTTACCTTCTTAGGCTGTAGAGGAGACAGGCTTGTCACACTGGTAACTGTTTCCCCGGAACTGCAAAGCACAGGCTCATAAGTGGGGGGAAAATGAAGGCAATGGAGGCAAAGATGGTTTGTCCTAGTGAGTTCATGCAAACACACCACCTTCCACTTGTGAGAATCCCTGCCCAATAACCTGGATTGTGATCTGGGGATATAATGAAAAACCTCTTAGGAGGGTTTGTAATGCCCTGGGTCTTACATTTTTTCAGCTATACAGTGTGGCTGAGAAACTCATCGAGTTTGATTCATCCTGGCACAGAAAATGCAAACTGTCAGGTTCAAACAACATTCATTTCATAGCACCTATTCCTTAAAAAGATGTATGACCCCACTGCTGCACTCAGGATGAACTTTTACCTGCCTGCCCTTGAGGGCCAGAGGCACAGACAGGTTAGGTGACTTGCATAAGCTCTCATGGAGAGTGTACAGCAAAGCAAAATCTTCAGTGCAGATTCTGGGCTAAGACTGGCTGATGGGCCAGCAGGCCAGGAAAGCATGCAGCATGTCTTCAGGAAACTCACAAACCCACATTTGCAAACACTAGCTTCTTCAAAGGGGCCAGCATGCTCAGGAAACACAAAATGGGGAAACTGTGCCCCAGTCTCTAACTCGGGCGGTCTCCAATACATCTATGCTGAAAAAATGCTAGTTGCTATGAGGGAAGAGTACAAGTTATATTTCAACAGATTCCTATCCAAGAGAGCTTCTGTGTTTGGACTATTACAGTCTAAAACCCTCTAGGTCTGGATTTTTTACCCTTATCATCTCCCAAAGCCTGAGGTCGTAAATCCTGCTTTGAATATTTAGGGCTTGGATATGCAGTCGGGTTGCAGCAATTGTGTCACTGTGTGTCAGCTGAGCTCTGGTAACTGACTGTGCAGGGGCTGCCAGCTTGCAGCTAAAGGGAGATAAAATTGTATTGGCTTAATTGGTAATGAAAGAAATTCTAACTTACAGCTGGGGTGGGAAGAGAATGTAAACCAGTTAGTTATGATGACCACAGTGATGGAGGTGACTTGGTAAGCAGTTGTTGCTCAGCTGCATCTGACCCAGGGCTCACTCTGGGAAAGATTAATGCAGTAGGGTTGTGGGGACCTTTCTATTCTGTGCTGGTGAGTTCCACCACACAGTGAGATCCAACCAAAATCTCCATAGTCATAACACTGACAACACTGATTTCACTGAATTGTAAATAATTTGTCCCAAGTTGCTGTTCCTCTCCAGGTTCTTTTGCATAATGAAACATTCTCTCTATATTAATAGAATAAAATATTCAAATTGGGCCAAAGACTTAATGAAAATTTAGATGTCTCAGCTATTACCCACACAAGAACACCAAAATAACAGATATTACCATTTTACACAGTTGTAAATCCATGAATGTCGCTTCCATTGGTAAAATCACTCTGATTACACTTGTGTAGATTACAAAAAGACTCTGGTTTGCTGATTTCCCTGAGTTTTGTCTCATGCATTCAGTGAAAAACATAGGTTTGCTGCCAAACTTTCTAAAATGTGTTTTAAAATAAAATATGTTCACAATTTATAAACAAATCACACCAGTTATGTAAACTAAGGACTGCACTGAACCAATTTCAAAGTCTGTCTGCACTATTATGAACTTACCCCACAACAACTGTTTCTGTATTAAAATCAAGATATAAAATGGTTTAAAACCAGCAGGAAATTAAACTGTCCTGCCTGGCTCCTTTGCCCAAACAGCAAGCTGCAAAGAAAGAACACCAAAAAGAGGTGAGAATGATTTTTTTAAAATGTTTTGGGGTTTAATAATCCAAGGTCATTCAGGCAGATGTGTAGCTTAAAGATACTATTGTCCTGATACAGCTACTTTAAGCACAATAGATGAAAAGGTGTAGTGTCAATTCATTGCATTAGTTATTATTTGTGTGTTGCCAATAAAAAAGTGAAACTACAGAGAAATTTATTTGTGACTTGCATGTTTCTTTTAAATGCCAGGGCCATACAGGGTTAACTAATTCTGGGAGATACAATAACTATACTTGCCATCTTAGAACTGAGCTCCTCAAACCAAACAAGGAGGCTCAGAAAAGACTCCTTGGCTCTGAAACACTGTCTCTTTGTGAGCTTGTCTTGTTCTGTGTCTAAAAGGAAATTTAGTTTTTTATCTTCAGCTCCTCCTCCAGCCTCCTGGTTTCCATTTCAACAGTGTCACGTTGTGCATTTCTTGAAGGATCTGATGAGTATTTAGAGAGCAAGAAAAATACAAGAGTTTGTGAGAATAACCTGTGAAAGGTATCTAATAATCATGGAACCAGGACAGCAGTTTCCCTGGAGGTCATGGCTGCTCCAAGAGCTGGGAAACTACTAGAATTTTGGCTATACTATCCTTATTAGAGTATAGGATTTGGAACTTTTCTTGTTGTCATCAAAATCGGCTATTTTCCCGTGTCAGAAGTCTGCAGGGGGATGACAAAAAACTCACTTGAGTGAACTAGAAGCTGCATAGATATTTCCCAGATAGGGGAGGTGTGTGAAAAGGTGCCAGGGATGGATTGGGCACTTGGTTCTAGTTTGTTCTGGCGAATTTGTTCCCATGATGTCAGACTGGCACTGTGGAACCAAGGTGTCAAGGTGGACAGCTTTCTGTGGTGAGCACTTTATTCACTTCAAATTATAAATTATTTGTCTCCAGAAGAGCAGTCACTGAAGGACTAGAGAGTTCAGGCCAAAACAAATACAAAGGAAAGAAAAAAAAAATCCTGTTTTCAAAGCTACACCTCCTGGTGGTTTCTGGAGTTGAAAACTGACAAAATGATCCAATAGCAAGAAAAATAATAATAAGGAGGATATTTAAAGAAAAGAAAACACCAGAAAATGGAATTAGGTGGTTTGGAAAACCAAAAATAACTTTACTTTTTTATTTAGATAGTTATTTTTAAAATGTGGTAAAGAAATGGGTTTTGGTTAACTCATTTTTTCCCCTTAATTTGTTATTGGTCAAGTAGCAAACCGAAACCTAACATTTGCTTTGTTCTACTCAGGAAATCTGGATTTAATTTTCTTTTCTGCCACTGCCATTTTGTGAGACCTGGCACAAATCGCTTAGCCTGTTGTGCTTCGGATTCCAATTAAAAGTAAAAATACCATTCTGATGTCAAGACATGAAATATTTTAAGATGCTTAGGTATTACTACAGTGGGATTACAGACATTTCTTAGACACCAGACTATTAATGTAATTTTGAAACTGGTTTCTGCTCTGTGTTTGAAATATCACTAAGGGAGTTTGAGCTGAGCCTCTCTAATCAAGGCTGAATTTTGCACAGCGAAGTAATTTTAAACTGCAAGAATCTCATGCAAATTAGTTAATCAGTTTGGCCTAGTGGGTATTTAGACACTGAGTTTTGGGTCTAAATATGTTGGAATAAGTTCCAAGACAAGGAATGTGCAGGTGAAGAGCAATGAGTTCAAAGGAATTAATGGTTTGCATTTTGAGCAAAGGGTAGAAAATAAATGGTACCATGTGTGAAACATAATAAAAAATATGATATTGGTATAACTTTCATAGCTATTTAATTTTAATAAGTCAATGCATTTTATCCATGCATTTGTGTGATCAAGGATTTCATTAGCATATGTTATCACACTGAAATACATGAAACTGTATTTTTATCCATACAGAGTCGTGCATTTCTTTCACTTCTGGAGATTCTGTTTTACAGTGAAGAAATCACATTGGCTTGTTTTCTCCCTGCTATTCAGCCTCCTAATTGTAGTGTTTGCAGTAGTATCACTGCTGCATCTTCTATTCCCAGATTTTGTAGTACGAGTCTTTTTATCTGACTGCCATGCTCCATTTTTTCAACCAGGTCTTATTTTTCTTCTCTTTTTGTGTTCTCTATCAATTTACTTTGATTTCCTCCCCCTCACCATTCTTTTTTTGTTTGTTTGTTTTTATAACTCCAACTTTGTCCCAGAAGCTAATAAAGAAGGGGGAAAGAGAAAACATCCAGGGGAAAACGAAAACTGCTGAGCTGTCTCTGTAAATTTTTGGTGTGTTGCAATGGCTGGTCAGGGTCACAGAACAAAGATCTTTCCATGAATAACATGAAAGTTTCAGTTTGTACTGGCCTCTCCTGAACTCTGTGTAGCTTTTTTGTGACTTCACTTCCAGTGTCAGTTAGATTGAATTCAGTGATAATCTCATGAGAATGCACTAAAAATCACTCTCTTGGAGGATCTACTGTGTGCTATACTTGGCATCGAATCCTGTAGTATCTAGAGATACTATGAGAAACAGTATGTGATACCAAGATGTATTGGATTTAAACTACAAGGCTAGAAACACATGGTTTATGTCACTGAAAACTGGGAAACAGCTGTGCTTCTGTGTTGTTATGAGGCACCCCTCTTCCATCTTTTTTGTTTGTAAAATACTTGTCATATTTTTTTACTGCAGTTCCAGCACAATATATATCTCAGAAAAATCATGCAATAGAAACCACCATCAAAAACTTTTGGCAGCTGGTGGTATTTAAAGGGACAGTGATTAATGACTGCAGCAGTAGAATTTTTCCTCTCACTTGGAGTCTTCATCTGGGAATAAGACTATGAGGCTTGAAAATCAGCTTTAGCCCCACTCCCTGTTCCTGGGTGTGGGAATCACTGGGTGACATCGAGATTTGTTCTATTTATGTGGATGGTGTAAGTCATTACCATCCAGTGAGGTGTTGAGAAACCCTAGAAAGCCACACAAGATGAAAGTTGGCTTCTTCAATAAGCAAGTCAGAGTGTCAAGGAGAGGCTTGTCACTAAAGCACCTTCAGGACCTACAGCTAGCCCAGTAGATCTCTCTTTTCATACATAGCAGGCACATTCATGAGTCATGGACCTGGGACTTTATCTTTCTGTAAACATTTTGGAAAACACTTGTTCAGCATACTTAGTAAAACAAAACCAGAACTGGTGCCTTTGGTTACAGTAAAGAGATGTATAATCTCCTACCTGTTCTGGGGGCATTTCACGAGGTAATGCTTCACTGTTAAAGAAAAGAAAAACAGAAAGAAGATGTGGCTTCATATCAACACAGTTTATGAGTTACAAATGGGCACTGCAGAGAGACCTGTGTTGCTGAGACTGTGAAGTTGCCAGATGGTTACACTGGGAGAGCTACTGATCATCACCCTACATTACATTGTGCATTAAAATGTAATCTGACTCAAAGACAATAGCTAGGCTTGGGAGAGGGGAATGTATCAAACAACAACAAAAATCTGCTGTGGAAGTCCTGGGCAACACACATTCCAGTGGTCAGTCCAGCTAAAAGACAGCTTGCTAAGGAAAAGCACAGCAGACCAGTAATTTTACTTTGAAGACTTTGATTTCCCTTGTGGTGCCTGTATTTATTTCCAGAAGCCTGAAATAAACCATTCACCCACAGGAGCCACTGCTATTCCTAATGCAAGTTAGATTGTGGCCACAAGCATAAAGGGATTGCCTCCTGGGATCAGATCAGAGGTCCAGTCCAGCCACTATCCTGTCTCTGACAGCTGTGTGTGTGAGCAGTGTAAATCCTTCTACTTCATATTCCTTTGAGTCAGTAGTCCTGAGCAAGGGCAGCTGCCCCCACTGCAGCCTTTTAGGAGCCAGGGTTATTAAAATGCTCTTTTGTGGCTTTGTGATTTCTATGCTTCTCCCAGAGGACAGACTGGCTCTTCTGGTCGACCTACTGCCAACTTATTTCTCAGAAGGATGAGAGGGTGCACCCCTGGGCCATGATGTGAAGTTGAATACAACTTAGACAGGCCCCTCCCTTCTTGTTCTCTGTCCTTTCAAGGACCATGAAAACCAGACAGCAGTACGCTCACATGACTATCCTCCTCTCTATGGGAAAGTTTCTGTATTTGGTCTTACCTAAATGCTCCCATTCTAAGGGAGCTACACAGCTCCTAGGAGGTGCATTTTGTTCCTAAGGAAAGGGGAGCTGAAAACACTAGGAGCTGGGGCTAACACAGGAGCCATGCCTAAGCCAAGCAAGGCAATGCTTCCATCTACTAGTCAAACTGAGAGAACTCCCTCGGTGAGGAACTGGGTTCAGTGTCACCTTTCTCCCGTCAGAACCCTGACATGAGCCAGGATCTTCTCAGGTTTCATTCCAGAGGGATCACAGAATCATTTAGGTTTAAATAATATTATGTTAGAGGTAAAAGACCTCTAAGATCATTGAGTTCAGCCCTTAACCCTGACAAGGCCAAGTCCACCACTAAACCATGTCCCTGAGTGCTACATCTACGTGTCTTTTCAATGCCTCCAGGGATAGCAACTCAACTTCATCTATGGCGAATTCCAACTGTTAGTTCAGGTATGAGTTCCACTATGTTCCAGATCAGGCTAGGTTGTTCTTGTAGAGGGTTGGGCAGTTTTCTCTCTTCTCCCTGTGCTTGGGTATCTGCCTCCACTCCGTCTGTGTGGGGCTGGGATGGGGAAGGGCACATTATCCTCCTCGTTCTGTTTGGGCTGAGGAACTGGGGAGGGGAAGCTGGAGTGGTGGGAGAGGGAAGGGAAGCTGTTGGTGTCTCTGTGACAGGAGTGGGGGAACTATAGAGGTTCAGAGAGAAGCTCTGACAGAAATTTGCCCAGTGAGGTGAAGTAAGGAGACAGTTTTGATTGTCCTGGGTCCCTGACTTGGTCTCAAATGGAAGAGCAGAGTGAGGCTTCTCTTTTAGGGCTACTGAGGAAGTTGGTGTGGCAATGCCTCATTACAGGGGGAAGAAGGCTGTGCCTGGAGCCTGCTGAGAGGCTTAGGGTTATGCAGAGGGAGGACTGCTTTGCTGACCCTGTCTTTTCTCCTTTTCTCAGAGAAGGATAGACTTTGTGATTTCACTGCAGGCTCTTTTCACATGAATACTTGCACCTGTCTAGCCCTGCCTAGGTTGGAGATACAGAGTACTGACAGTGGAGAGGAGGTAAGTAATGGTTTTTAAGGAATAATGCCTTGTGCTAACAGACTGAATGACAGCACTGATATTGTCTCTTGTGGTCAAACTGTAACCCCTGGAAGGTGCTTCTGGAGGTGGTAGAGTACTTGTGAAGGAGGAGGGGGCTCTCTGTGCCCCATGCCCATGTGCTGAGTGAAAACAGCACCTCTCAGGGAAGTGCTGCTCTGTGGGTCAGAGGCTCAGGGCTGAGTTTGCTGCCATGTCCCAGAAGCTGTGGGGAGAAAAAGCAGTGTGGGCTGGTGGAAACTATGTCCATCACTGGCATTCTTTCCATGCTGCTTCAGAAATTTTAATACCCTGATTCTTGACTAGGTGCTGAGCCAATTATTGTGGCTCTGGAAAATACTCTGATCAGGTGGTCCCAGCTGAACAACTTGCCTGAAAATCTTGTAACTGTGTATGACTGGCTAAATTTTCTTCTGCAATATTTTCATTGAATCTGTAAATTTAATGCTGCCAGTGTTTACTGAATAATATTCAACACCTAAATAAAAATTTGGTGAAGCCTGCAATTATTCAGATATTAGTGTAACGAAGAAAGTTTTAGTAGTCCAGAATAAATTACTTTTTATCTGTTGTACACGCTTATTCTACATTGTATATTATTTCTATATTTGACTGGTGTTGGTTCAATGTAAAGAGGCATTTCCTCCAAGCTGCTTGTATGCTTACACCGATGTCAGCCGACAGAAACAGAAGCAAGAATTCTAACCCAAGAATTGGGTCTGCTAAAGAAAAACTAGGATGCATCAGTCTAGTGCTTGTGGCTTCAGAGTGACTCACCATGACCAACATACTTAAGTGTGGGTACTCCCCTGGCACAAAGCCTTTGTCATCACTTAACAGGGTAGGAAGAATAACATCGATCTTGCTCCTTCCTCTTGGCAAGCAGAGTTGTTGGGTTCAGTTAGAATCAGAGTTACTCTACTAAGCGCATTACCAGGAAGATGCAGCCACAGGCTGAAATGTGTCTGTGGTCAGGCAAAGGCTTCTCTATACATCTATTTTTGGTTTACATGTCTTCTCATTTGTATATCTGAGTCACTCATTCCTTTGTGGTATGTGCGTAGTGCTGCAGAGGCACCAAAGTCATGATTCTCTCCTGTCATTAACAAGACAAATCACTAACCCAGCTCCTTCTGAAACCTTCTGTTCAGAGGTAGTCCCTATGCTCTCCTTTAACATGGTGGCTGCTAAGCATGCTGGTGTCTCATCCTTGAAGCTTGTGTGAGGTCTCCAAACAAACCACTTTTGAACCAAAATGAAGGTAAAGCCTGCACAGACTACTCCACAGATCAGAAACAGCACTTTTGTTTACAACAGGACTGCTTGGATGTAGATGCATCCTCTTTGAGAAACCCTCTCTGAGGAAGAGAAGAATGAGACAATAATCCTTGACCTTGAAAGATTATTATGAAAAAGCAGACTTGAATATTGAAATGATACCTTAGTTTCAAAAAAGGCTACGAATGAGGGTGTACTGATCAAAACCCTCATATTCCCAAGAATATTGACAGCTACTCAGGAAGAGAGAATAAAACAGAATAGAGCAAGACTGCTTTGAAACCCCTCTACACATGTGCAGAAATGTGACTCATGCAAAATGTTAGATTCTGGTCAGAATGCAACTTAATGATACAGCACTTGGTCTGCTTTGAAAGAAGTTCCAACAACCTTCAACTTACATTTGTGCAAAGGTGAAAGATTTTTGAAAAAAATTAAAGTGAAATAGCTATTCAAAGGGAGGAAAATTACTTTGTTCTAGTTTGGTTGGCAGAATTTTTTCCTACCATTTTGGTTTTTTAAATTACAATCAAGCCAAGGAAATATTTATTTTTCCTGCTTCTTCTGCATTCTCTTCTCCCCCACCCCCCGCCCCACTTTTTGATAAGGGCTTTGCAGTCATCAAAAATGACATCTCACTCACCTGTGGATCTCCTCTTGTTCAGAAGCGACTGACAGAGAATGACAAGTGTAAAAAGGAGGACACTGATGATTCCTATGGAACACACAAACACTGCATACACATACAGGTCTGAAAACCAAGCACAGATGACAGTCAGTGTTACAGCTGTACTCTTCATGATGACAGGATAGAAAAAATTTACATTTACAAGATCTAAATAGACACTGGTCCTAAAGATGTAGGATTAGAGTTCAGAAATAGTTTAACTCACTTGAAACTTTCCTACAATATCCTGCTTAGTTTAAAATTTGTTTGAAATCTCCATAAATGCAAATAGGCGTAACTACACCTATGAGATCTGACTTTCAGGAGCAAGCAATGAACTGGTTTGGGTTGTTGCTTTTCTTTTTTTTTTTTTTTTTTTGAATGGCAACCCGAAAACCAAAAGGACTTCAGTTGGATTATTTCCCAGTTCAAACAGCTGTACCTTTTTTTTTTTTTAAACAAAAAAAAGAAAAAACCCAAACACCCAAACAATAAAACATGAAAAGTGGCAGTGGAGGAATGCTGAGTGGCTGGGGAAGAAGCAAGAAGATCTGCAGTTGCTTTTTTCTGCTGGCAACACTGGCTTGAAATTTTTGTATGTTTTTTTTTCCCTTTTTAAAATTACAGCCTCAGTCTCCCTTTATGGCTTTCATTCAGGTGCTGTATCACATTCCCAGTGGAGCTGACAGGAGTTGTACTATGGCAGATCAAGATGAAGTATTTTGTTCAGAAAGAGAAGAAATCTTTAATTACTTATTTCTGCTTTTACTAGAACTCTTTTTAGAGTACTTTAAGGATGCTCTACCCATTAATGTCTTGAAATGTCCTTAGGGGGGAATATTGGCTTTTTTCCTGCTTCACAGAGAGGAAACTAAGTCTCAGAGGTCAAGTGTTCTTGCAGAAAATAGCATTGCTGGAACTGTACCCCTGACCTGGAGTTCTGTGTTTCATTCCTCTTACGCAGTGCAACAATATAGTTTATAAATTATGGTTTAAAAAGCAAGGCTCTCCACAGAATCAGGGTCATCCTACAAGCGAGCACTCCTGCCTGGCAGGAAGCACAGCAGTTGTAAGTGCTGTGCTGGCACTTCACTAGTGCTCTGGATTGTGGGGGGGAGGAGGAGGGAATCCTAACTGCATGCAAATTCTGGATTACAGACTCTTGGAACAGTTGTCCACTAATCTAAACAGAAAATATTGCTTGCCTTGAAACTCAAGGGAACTTCAAGCTGCTCTTGCAGTGTAAAGCATGCCTTCTGAGCAGTTTCTAAGGCCAGTAGAAGTGTAGAGTACATGGTACCTCTGCAGACATGCTGAACACCTTCCTGAATAAGGGTCTGCATTTGCGTTGTGTGATTAGCCAGGCATAGGCTGCTGACCCTGAGATGAGCTCAGCTGGTTAGAGCGTGGTGCTGACAACACCAAGGTTAGGTTGTAGGTTTGATCCCTGTATAGGCCATTCATTTAAGTTGGACTCAATGATCCTTGTGGCTTCCTTCCAGCTTGGAATATTCTGTGAAATTCCCATTGACCATAACAGATACATGAGAAACTGAACTCTTCCATTCTCTTTTGTCCAGCACACCTGCACTCTGGGGGATGGATTCTCAGGCAAGGCTCGGGTTTGCACAGAAACTAGCAAAATTGGTCCTGATTTGGAGCACTTCAGTTGTCCTGTAGCATTGGACAAAACTAGCACTGTGTATAGAAGCAGTAGCAGTTAGATGTATCTTTACCTTCAAAAAATTTCCAAGCTTCATGATTTGTCTTGAAAATGGGATGATCAGAAGATTTTGATGAAATCACTGAAAAAAAAAAGCAACAAGATTTGAAAAAATTGTGTGGCATAAAAAGTTTGGATTTCTTGAAGTAAATGTATTCTGCTTTAGACTTCAGCATCAAGATCTCAAGATTGCTTTATCTCACAGGATAATTACCTTTCAACGAAACAATTTACACAACAGCATTATAGACGTGTTCCAGCAAATCTTATATGGCTTGACACACTCCACAAGAGCCATACGGCTTGAGACTGCCTCCCTGTTGTCCTCTTATTCTGGGAAAGATACAGTGTGTGACTCTTCAATCAAAAGTTAATTGCAGTGAAGAATAGAAAGAGAATTGAAATATGCATTAGAAGAGCCTAGGCCTTGGAATAGAGTGGTGATGTGCTTGTAAGGTCTGTAATGGCTTTGCAGGGTTGATCTGAGTACTCCAGGGGAAAAGCTGCCATTAATGCCGTATGTAGCTGGTTTTATTCTGCCTCTGTGTTTCTGCTACTCAGAACTCGTACCTCTAGGGTTGCAGTTTGTGTTTCTGGACTGAACCATACTAATTCTGAGAGAGGAGATGAACAACTTACGCTCAAGAGAATAAGAATTTATTTTCCTTTACAATTACAAATAAGAAGTTTTAACACTGTAGTGTATTTCTAAGCCTTAGAAGTTAAGTTAAAAAAATAATGGGAAGAACAGTAACTTTACTGAAGGACATAGATCTGAAGACTTCCCGAGAACTGACTGGGAGCCAGCCACATCAGGCACAGCTCTTTTGGAAAAACATGGAAGTTGTTCTAGGAATGTTTGGCACTGAAGTAAACTCCACCAACATGCTGATGACACAAAGCTGAGAGAAGTGGCTGATACCCCCGAGTGCTGCACAGGACCTCGACAGGTCTCCAACCGTCTTAAATTTAAGAAAGGCAAATTCAGGGTCCTGCACCCAGGGAAGAAAAACACCATGAATCAATGCAGTGCTGTGTCCAGTTCTGGGCTCCTCAGTACATGAGACATGGAGCTCATGGAGTGGGTTTGTTGCCCCAGCAGAGGGCAACAAAGATGGTTGAAGGACTGGAGCATCTCTCCCACAAGGAAAGGCTGAGGGGCCTGGGCCTGTTCAGCCTCAAGAAGAGATCTGAGAGGGGACCTTGTCAATGTCTGTAAGTATCTGCAGGGAGGGTTCCAAAAGGATAGAGCCAGGCTCCAATCAGTGGCACCAAGCAATAGGACAAGAGGCAACAGGTAGAAACTGATGCACAGGATGTTCCACCTGAATATGAGGAAGAACTTCACTGTGCAGGTGACTGAGCACTGGAACAGATTGCAGAGAGAGGTTGTGGAGTCTCCCTCACAGGAGATATTAAAGAACTGGCTGGACAAAATCCTGTGCGATGTGTTCTAGGATGACGCTGCTTGAGCAGTGAAGTTGGACCACATGGCCCATTGTGATACCTTCCAACCAAACCCATTATATGATTCTGTGATTCTGTGATAGCATTTCACCAGCTTCAGGACTGACTCTGTAGGCCCTGATCTTGCCCAACTTGCCTTCCCTCCAAAGCTCTTGTGGATGTCCCTTAGCAGGTTGAACTGCTCTGCAATTCCTACAACAGCACCCAAATAACACAGTGAGAGACCCAAAGTAAGAGCACTGCTCAAAAGTTCTTTTTCTTTTTACTTTCCTCAAAAGTCAGCTTCCATGCTGTGCCTTTTAAAGATACATGGCTATGATACCTGCCTATCTGAAAAAATGCACCCATGCATGCATGGGCTTTTTGAAACTGTCCAAATGCTTCAGAAATTGCATACCTGAGCTGTAAAGCAGAACACATCTACTTACACTCAGTGTTGTTGGCTCAGATGTAGGAACAGAGTAGGCTGAACATCTTTAATACAAAATGCTCTGTCATTGCTGTATCAATGGCCATTCACCATTGAGTGCAGAACAGCTCAAGTTCTCAGCCAGCATAATTCCCCTGCCTGTATATGGCAGTTTTTTCCTGAGAATAAAGATTGCATGCCCACAAGTTGTACCAGCTCACCTTTATAGCCTAGAAAAAGGGCTGACCGAATGACAATGTTCTAGCTCAATTAAGAGGGAAAATAGCTGTCAAGTTTGCACAGAATCGTCCTCTCTCTTTCAGGAGGATGGATGACTATCAATATCAAAACAGTTGTACAGCCTAGCACTAGAATACAAATGTTCTGAATGCTGGATCAGTGTTCAAAACCCTCTCTGCTCTCCTCAGCCAGATTGTTTATGCATGCTGATATTTTTTATGACATTAGATTAGATTATGTCACTTATGTTAATCCATGGTTTTTCTTCTGCTAGCAGTCGCTGCAATACAATGGAAGTCTAGTGATATCCTCCAGCTTGCCAGTGAGGTCTGAACTTCTCAAGAGTTTCATGTGGTAAGTTATTAAAGAACTAGTATCTTACTGGAAAGGGAATTCATTAAGGAGTGCCCTGCAGGGATGTGAGGTGTAGGGCTAACTCAGTGGATATAAAACTTTTAGGACTAATGAAATCTGTTCAGTTGTGATGGGAAGCTCATCCTGAATATTTTAACAAATCTAATGATTTGTTTCATGGAAGCATCACATGTGTAGATTTTTGGCAAGTATTTCTGAATAACTTCCCTGGAAAAAAAGGGGGTTTGTTCATTTTGAGGAAAAAAATCTTGCATTCCTACATTTTACCACATTTTTACTGTTAGAAAATGTCACATAAAACTAATATTTAACAGAACTCAGACTTTCTTCTGTGGCAAATTCTGACACATAAACTTCCCAACAAGACAGATTGTTGTGATCATCTCTACTTGTTTCTGTTGTCCATGACAATAAGATTATAGTTGGACTGTCTAATTTTCTATGTTTTTCTCCCCAACAGGAGTAGTCTCTTCTCTTGGATTGTAAACCATTTGGAATATGTATTGCTCTTCCTATGAGATGTGCAGTACCATGAGGAATTACCTGATTATAAATGATGGTTTGGAGGTACTGTATATTGTTCTGAGAAGGCTACTGACTATTTTGAATTTTCCAATAGGAAGGGAGTGGGAGAACATTTTTCTGATGTCTCCTTTTTTATTATTATTTTTCGTCTCAAATAAACTGTTTTCTGGTGCATTCTGTACTATGATGAAGACCACTAACTTGGTGTTAGGCTAACATTGACCACACAAGCCCAGGAAAGGAAACTATGCCTTTGATAAGAGGATGAGGGGAGGGGGAAAGGTTCGCCTCAGCTTAGATAGGAGATGTTGCTGAGGCCGAAGAGGCTGAAGTAGGAAACACTTCTTGGCAACATCAGCACATGGATTTCTCCTGGGTTTACTGACAAGATTTAACAATAGCCTTTTTATAAATCCTATTCGATGTCTTGTATTCCCCACACCTAAAGGGGCAAACTGCAACAGTTCAAATTTCAGCTGGACCTACTGAAAACACTGCAAAGTCATTGTAGTTGACTGCATCTCCATCAGTGAGGCTTCTTTTCTGCCCCTAAAGTAGAAGCCAGATACGTAGCTAAACTTTTAACTACCATCATTAGACATTAAGGAACTATAGCCTGTAACTCAATTATTTTTCCACAACTCCAGTATGTGTATTTGTATAAATTTATGTGTTTCGACAAAATATATTAGCAACTTCTTAATGGCCTACACAAATTTATGCCTGCAAACTTGCTAGCAAATAACAAAATCTCAATATAAATTAATAGCAGTAGATACAACAGATCCAGCTATCAGCTTGCTTCCAGAGCAAGTTACATTTTGAAGAAGCAGAATGACTCTTTTCTCTCTGGAAATTTCTGTCTTGCACAGTGACCTCCTCTTCCTGTGTGAACTAAAAAGAAAAGGGATTATGCTATTTCTACATCCACTTGATGCACAAAGTCTCGAGAAATTTGCCTGGCGCTTTAGCATAAAGATACTATTTTGAATTTGGGGGTAACTGCAGACATATTAACTGGAACAAAATGTTAGGCAACACAGTAACTGTGATGTGTTGGAACACTGTTACCTTATTTGATAAAGCACAAGCAGTACAATTTAAGTATCCAAATGCTTCAGGCAATTTGTATTGCTCCTTTTGTTGCATCCTGGATCTAACTGTAATATAAGTAAATCCCTTTGCAATAAAAAGTATAACTGATCATAATATAAAATACAAAATGTGTTTGGAATAAAATTTCCTTGAAAAGCCTTTTCCCTGTTGGGAAAATTGGAAACTTTATCACTACTTGGAAAAGACTTGCCTTCCCTCCTAAGTGTAGCAAGTTCTGTACACTGAGAGTGCATTAGCAGAATGCTAGTAAAGACAGTCCTTTGTTTCCAGTAAAGTGGCTTTAAGCAGTAAAACAGTTGCTATGGCATTTAAAGATATGTCATTTTTCCAATAGCATTTGGTATCTTTAATTTGGATTTAGAATTAGAATAAATGCCTGACAGGGCATACTGTCAGTGTAGTTTACAGGTTGGCCAGCCTTCTCCCTTGACTCAGGCTTCCTGCTCTGCTTTGGGTCACATTTGAAGCAGAGAGAAGTACTACAGCTGAGAAGACAATGTGAAAATGATGAAGTCATGAGCCTCAAATCCCTACCCTGATTATGTATTCATAATTCATACTAGAAATTGGAGGCAAAGTAATATTTAAGGACTGGACTGAAAAGTTACAAATTTCCTTCTTTGCAATGACTAAATTGATCCAAACCCCACACTTTAGCTATGAAGAGCAATGAGATGTTTCTACATTAGCAATGGCCTGAGAAGCTATGAAGGATGCAGAGTAGCTTTTTGTGATAAGAGGTATTACACCCCATTTTATATTGCTTTTCTTCTGCTGCCACTTACTTGGAACATGCCATTCCCTTTCCAAGCACTCCTGACAAATCCATATGTTTCACTATAGGCACTTAAGAACTTATTCAGCGAATGAGAAAACACTCTTAACTGCTTTCTGGCATTATCTCTAGAGCTGACCCTTTGGGAAATCAACTTTTCTGTTTATAAAGCCACAAGTGAGGGGTAGTTTGCCAGCTAACACTAATGGCTGGAGTCTGTTCTCTAAATCCAGTTTCACCTGTCTCTAAAAGTGTGGGTGTGGTGACATAAGATTTGAGCTGATCCATCCCAAAAAGATGGATCATTTTCAACTTGGTTCACATCCATCACTCATTGCTGGTCATTTTATCCGAAGTTCAATACCAGTAGGCTGGTCAATGCTTCTCTAGCTCTGCTTTCTGGCTACAAGTGGTATAAACAATAGTACAGAAGTGAGTAGCACTTCTAGTATGCTACTTACTAACTGCTGCTAGACTAGAACTAAGAGCAAGGGAAACAGCAAGAGAGGCAAAACATAGATCTAAAATATAATGCTTCTATTTCTGACAGACTCACTGCATATTCTTCAGAAAACAAGTTAATTTCTCTCCTATTTCTGTCTCTTTGTATTTAAATAACAATGGCCAGGACAGCTGACCCAAACTGATCAAAGAGGTATTCCCTACCATGTGATGTCTGCTCAGTAATAAAAGCTAAGAAGGGATGGGGAGGAGGGCAGTCATTATTGTGGCATTCGTCTTCTGGAGCAACCACTATGCATGCTGAAGCCCTGCTTCCTGGGAAGTTTCTGGACATCACCTGCTGATGGGAAATTCTTTTTGTTTTCCTGTGCTTCTGTGCATGGCCTTTGCTTTTGCTTTATTAAACTGCTTTTCTCTCGACCTGTGAATGGTTTTTTTCCATCTTATTTTCTCTCCTTCCTGTCCTGCTGAGGAGGGGAGTGATAGAGTGGCTTGGTGGGCACCCGGTGTCCAGCCAAGGTAAACCCACCAGAGACCTGTAGCTGAATGGAAAGGAGTTTTAATTACTGCTATTCTGATAAAAGGCAATGGAAATAGACTGTCTTCTACCAATCTTCTCACTTCTTTACATTTTATTATGGGTTGAATAATGTTTAAATTGTAATAAGTAAAGAAGTTGAGCATTAGGTTTTCTTATCATACCCACAGATTACACTTTAAAATAACATAAGTTCAAATGTCTTATGGATGAACTTGCAAGAAAAAAAGGGATCACAGGACAAGAAAAAATTATAGACTTGAAATCCGTAGTCTCTCACCTCTTATTTCAGTAGCTGCTGTGCCATTTGACCATGCTGTCCACTTATTCCTGTGTTTGCCTATTTCCTGGACTTTACATATATAACGTCCTTGATCTGTTTGCTGGAGACTTAAAATAAGAAATTTGTACATAGTTCCATGTTTCTCCTTAAGAAGATGAAGTCTTTGCTTGTGGAAATGATGAGTATAATTTCCATAATACTGGACAGATCCAAACTTGGTCATTTTGATCATCAGATGCTCCTGGGTAGGTGATGCAGCGAAGACCCACCGCACAGCCAACAAATTGTCTGTCTTTCTCTTTTGAGAAATGTGGCAGTAAAGAGTAGCATTATCTCCCTCAAAGTATCGCACTGTTGGTCCAGGAGAGACTGTCACATTTAAAGCCTCACAAACATCTGTAAAGAAAAGAAAAGATGATGAGAATCCTCCATACTGGCACAACAGCACCATAATCTGCCCCAGTGTGCAAGCCCACAGCAGATAAACTGATCGAATCTGTTTAGTGTGCAGCAATTTAATGAGCTTGTATAACTTGAAATCATCTGCTCCTCTGTGAATATTAAAGGTAGTATGAGGCCCTCCTTCAGAGAGTCTGCTCTAGTATTCTTGCTGTTGCTAGTCAGTAATGCAGGGTTCATGTGGAGACCTTGCTGCCGTCATAGGATCAACTCCATGCAATCTTTCATCAGCCTGAACAAATGTTGATCTAAAACTCGCTTGGAGAAAGAGCCAAGAATGGCTTTTGGAAAGCTGTTCCATGACCAGCTCTTCTGACAACTTGCATCCTTCTTAGGGCTTCCAGGCTAAATCACAGAATCACAGAATATACTGACTTGGAAGGGACCCACAAGAATGGCTTCAATAGCCAGTTTGTGCCCATTTGTTCCTGTGCCAACTTTAAGTTGAAACAGTGTTTTCTTCTCTCAGCTTACTTCCTGACTCTATATAGAAAGCAATTATCTGGTGTCTCAGCCTTCCTTCACTTTGTTGAGCTGAAGAAGCCAAGCTCTGTTAGTCTCTTATAGTAAGCAGTGTCTTCATTTCCCTATTCACCTTAGCAGCCCTTCTCTACATTGGTTACAGTTTAAATTTTGGGGTTGATTGTAATAATTTTAAGTTTTTTAATGTAATTGACTGCAATTATAGTCAGTGTCTGGAATGAAGTTTTCCAGTGTCCTGTGGAATACTCACAGTATTTCTCAGATTTGACTGGGATATACCTTGCCTGCTATATCCTAGAATTATGTTGTACTTTTTTCATGACACTTCCGCATGTGATTATAAGTCAGTTTATAAATAAATAGCATACTTGCATGTTTTCTCTTCTTTGTCATTTGTGGTTCAGTCTCTAATGTATCAAAGAAATTCTTACTAATCCTCAAGTACGTGACTTTGCTTTACTAACTTCTGCTCCATTCCTGTGTACTCCGTCCTCAGTTTTTCCTACATGCTATCTTTGTCTTTTGCTGATTTGACAAGGTCACAATTTCAACATGCATGCTTCCATCTACTTCTTTTAGACATCATTAGTCCAAAACTTACATCATACTGTTCCACAGATGGTCACTGAAAGACCACTGAACCCCCTATATGCTACAGTTCCCCACGTCCTCTGTTTTAAGTAATATTCTCCTTGTCATAATTAAATGGTCATTTGAAACCTGGGTTAAATCTGTCAGATTAGTCCTTCTGACTACAATTCAAGTTAATCTGACATTATTTGCATGATAAAATATGACATGAGATCATATTGGGACAAATGATTATTTCATTGTTCCATTAATTTCTGATTCTTGTCTTTAATGTTCTCCATCATGAACCTCACTTAGACCAATTGTTTGCCTCTTGTTTTACTTCTAGCAACAGGTGAAGGTTGAAAGAAGTGTCCATAGCTGTTCATTAGAGGAAGATTTTCCTTTCCTGACCTAACCGATTTATACTGGACAGCTTTTCTGAGCCATGGGAATCAACACTCATTTTATTTCCTTGCTAATGTACATCAAGAATGTCCTTATTAGTCATATCAGACTGATCTATTTTTGACCAATGGTGTATTGTGGCAATGTGTTCCCTACGTGATTTGTAATGTGTAATCTACCAGTCTGAGGGCATCCACTAGAGAGAGAACCGCATTTCAGCAGTGAGCAAGCACTCCCTGCAATGTACTCTGCAAAGCATGAAATGTCCTCCAAACTGTGAACATTAAGCTTCCTGTTATGTGAATACTGTACTGTACTCAAATACTGATGAGAATTTCAACTCTGAGAGAATGATATTTTCATTTTTGGACACTTTTCTAGCACATCAGCAAGCGACATTTTAACAAAGGGGATGTGCGTTTTGGCAGAAACTCTTGTCTGACATCAGCTCCTGAAACACAAACACATATTTATCTTCAAAATAAGCAAGTAAAGTATTTCCATTCTATTTCTGAAGGAGTGCTGGAGGCAGAGATACTGGTTTTATGGCCCCAGTGAAGCTGTGAAATGAAGCAGTGAATTGTATCACCTTACTTAAAGTAAATCCATTAAATTAGTTATATTACAACTGTTTGAGAACTCTCTGAAAATAAATAGTATAATAATTATTTTTGTGTCATTTCAATAGAAAGCTCTACTGAAGAGTGTGTATTTTCTAAGTAGACATTATTTTTTTATTTATGAAGGAGAAAATAAGTTGTATAAAGTATGGTTTAGGTTTTTTTAAAAATCTCTTTAGGAAACTACTGCTAAGCATGGCTGAGATTATTGACAAAATTTTCTCTCCTTCATGTTTCTGTCTGCAATTCATGCAAATGTCAAAGAAAGAGGTCATTTTGGATTGTAGAAAGCAGACAAGTAGAACACAATGCTGAAATTTAAAATTAAGGTTGAATCCCACCAAAAACTTTCTAGGTACGAAACTTCCATTACTACTCGCTGGAGTTACCTGACCTTAGTTCTTCACTGGCAGATGTGAAGCCCATAAATGGCTGCCTTTGCCATGAAAATAAGATTAAATTTTGAAGGTTGTGCTGCTTAGTAAATAAGGAGTAAGTTTAGAATTTCAACACTTTTTGGAGTCCTTAGGCAATAAATGTTTAATAAATCATTTATAAAATTATGGTTTGGGGAAATGAAAAACACAGACCTTTTTCCACTGAAATTATGAACATGTCATGAAAACTGTAAAGAAAAACAATTATGTCATTTTCCTGACATGTGAACTTCTGGTTTGAAAAAGCTGGCTAGGAGTAATTGTGAAATAGAGTCCCAAAATAAAAGGCAAAAGAATCATTGTTTAATTTGAAACTAGGTGGAACATAGTGCCAAAAAGTACCCAAGAGAAAATACAGAGGAAGTCAGATACAGTGATGATGGAAACCTCTGTAAGAAGATAAAGCAGCATTGTATGTGGAGTCTCTGACCCCCTTCTAGCTGTTTACACTCGTACAAACATCGGTATTTTATATCTAAGGCTTCTACTTTTCCTCTGGGGACATGCCTTTTTATAAGCACATATCAAATTTTGCATCCTTCATGTTGTCTGATCAGTGGGACCCCCATCTCCTTATCTTCCTTCTGTGGCTGCTATTGGTGCAGTTGCACAAGTGCAGCAATGGGGAGAGTTTTGGAAATCCCCTGATGCTTTTACCATGATATCAGCTCATGTTGAACAGGGTCAGGTGATGCTTTATATAAAACAGAAAAACAGTATCCATTTGACTTAATCCTCCCACTGCCACTGAAGCAGGAACAGTGGTGGATTTAGGAGGAAAGAGTTCGTATACCTCTTATGTGGAAAGGAAAACCCTCTTCAGGACTCCCAGGCACTAGTGGATATATTCCTCCTGTCCTTAGCAGGCACTGGATCAGTTTCAACATGAGGATTACCCTTGTAATGGGCTCCTTGCCAAAAATAGGAGACTTCTCCACAACTTGAGAGCAGGCTTGTGTGCCAACAGAGCACTGAATTTCTAGATTTCGGATTGCTGTTTCAAATGAGGAATCACTGTTTTCCTTCTCCTGCCTTCCCAATATAGCATGATGTAGCTGCTCAGGTGGAGCTCACCACAAGAGTTTTTGTTTTGTTTCTGCTTGGAAAGGGAAACTATTTATAGAAAGGGGGAGGAGAGTGAGTCAAAGATTTGAGGATTCCTTTGCAGTGTGCTTAATCATCAAACATGTCTCTGCTTTTCTCAAGCAGCTCACTTAGCTGCCCCCATCCCAACCTTTTAGCTGTTTGCTTCTTTGATACCCTCCACCTGCATGTCTCACTAGCCTGTGGGGAGTCAGGAAAGGTGACTGCTGACTAAGCTCTGTTTTAAAAAATCCTACTATTTTGCAAATTGTCCACTTCTGCTTAGACCAGTTCAATTCCAAGAATCAGCTAGGTCTGGACTTTGCTGTCTGCCATATCACATAGCAAAACATTTTCACAGCACTGTCAGGAGTACCAAACTATACTTCTAGCAGCCAGAAACTTGTTTATTCCAGGGCTATCCCCTCTGTCTGTGCTGGAACAGTGGCAAAGGCCTTACAGTCACTGCTTGGTCCTTACATGTGGTGAGCAGTTTCAGCATGGTTGTGTTTCTGTGGGACAACCCCAGTTACTTCAAGTGGAGATATGGGTGGAGTTGCTCCTGTGCACAGCTGTTCACAGTTCGGGTTTAGTGTTGTATATAGCCCACTCTTCCTTCCTCCATGGAGACCAACAGGCAGATCTACAACCAACCCTTCAGGACTGGGAGGACTGATAGATAGCTGGGGGACTAGAGAAGCATGCCACTGGGATGGTTACCTTCTGATCTCAAATTTGCATGACCACAAGCATATGGGATGGGTTTTATCTGTGTTGTAGTTTGTTCTAGGAAACTATGCTACTGTCAAAGCCTGCTTTATTTTGATTTCTCTACAATTAAAAAGAGCAGATGAGCCAGGAAGAAGTAAAGCTCTTTGTTTAAATGAAAATAATTAGGAGCTGGCTAGCAACAGCATCAAAAAGCAACCAGCTGTTTTCAGTTAACAGATCTGTCTTCAAGTTTCACAAGTCAGAGACTCCCCCTTGCAGAAAGCTTCTGCATTGACTAAAGATGGACTTGAACCAAACATCTGCCTCCACCATCTCCTGCCCTTTTGTGGTGAAGATTTACATTCAACTCTTTCATTAACCTTGAAGGACTAGGGCTTCCCCACCCTTCTAACCTCACTGCATCTGGAAGTTCAGATACAGACTCTGTGTCTGTTTTGCAGCTTCAGGACACACAAGCTGTCCAACGCACGTTTGGTTTTGAAGGTATAAAGGTCTTAAATGGAGGAGGCTTTTTACAAGTGGCCTACAGGTTGCATTTCCACCTGATGCCTATGGGATCAAGGCACCTGTGGAAAAAAACAATCTCAAACCTCCTTTGTCTCGGCTTTGCCTGACACAGAAGACCGATGGCCGAGGACCCATCTCCATGAACGTCTGCATGGAAAAGGTTTTCTTTTCTAAAAAGGATCGGGTCGCTGTGCAGAAGCGCTGCTGCCAGGAGCCCGGCAAAGCAGCGGCGGAGCGGGGTCGGGACCGGCCGGAGGGCCGCCCATACCCGGCCGTGCTGCCCGGCTCCCTGTCCCGCTAAGACCCTTGTCCGCCCCCCCCCCGCCCCCCGAAGCCCCCCCCCCCCAGCGCTGCCCAGCGCCTCCCTCGGTTGCGGGCGGGGGGGGACCCGGAGCCGGAGCCGGACCGGCTCCGCGGCGCGCAGGGGCCGGCGGCGGCCAAGGGAAGCCCGAGGGGAGCCTCGAGGGATGCCCGGGGGCTCGCCGGGGGCCAGGGGGAGGCTGCCCCGTCTCGGGCGGGGTTGCGGGCCTGGCGCCCGCCAGATGAGCACCGAGCATGGGGACGGCAGTGATGACATTCAGCTAATCCGCGCATTACACTTAATATTCTGAATGGTAGCATAGTTGTACCATGGTTGGGGCCGACCCGCGGTGCCGCTTCTGGCCGGGCCGTGGCCAGGAGGGCGGCCAAGCGCCGGTGGCCAGGAGGCGCATGGGCCCGCGGCGCTGGGTCCGGTCCCGTCCCGTCCCGTCCGTCCCGTTCGTCCCGTCCCGTCTCTCGACAAGCTGCTCCGCTTCTCCTCGACTGTCCGGTCCTCTCGCTCTCCCCCGCCCGGACCTGCCTTCCCCCTTGTTTTCAACTCTCCTCCCCTTTTCTCCTCCTTTTTTTTTTTTTTTTTTCACGCTTTCTTCCTTCTTTCTGTACTCCTTTATGCTTCCCACTGTCCTGTCCCCCATTCAACTCCCCCTCTTTTTCTCGCCTCCTTTCCCTGTCGTTTCTCTCCACCCCATGCCTGTGGGGTGGCACTAGGGCTAGACAGGGATGCTCCATCTCTAGCCTCCATGATCCCCCCCATGCAAAAACACATTTTGCCCAAAAGACACGGATCTGCGTCGATGGGAAGCAGCAACTCCCTCCCTCCCGGAGCACAGAAAGCTTCTCTACGAGCAGGTGAGGCAGCCCAGTAGCTGGAGGCTGTGGGATACAGTGCTGGGACGGGAAGGCTGTTTTGGGCATCCTCTCAGCTTTCCTCGAGGTGTTGAAAATTTTGCAAGCCCTCATGTCGGTTCCACTCATCCCAGTCCTTAACTGGAATAGGACCACCATTCCCTCACTGTTTTAATTAATGCTGTCTCCCTGTCCGTAGGCTCTGTTGGTGGGAGCATGGCCAGCAGGCATGAGGAAGAATGCTGTAGAGCATTTAAGACACCTATGCCAGGACGTTGTGCTCAGGGCTCTGGTGTTTGCCCTGTGCTGTGACATCACATCTACTGACCACTGGTATTTACTCTCTCTCTAAAGAAGTCTGAACAATTTGATATAGCACCTCAAGGTGCATCACCCCAAGGTTATTGTCCTTGTCTTGCCAAATGGTCCCACACTGCTAGGCCAGAAAGGACAAGGGAAGTTGTCACCTTGCAGCATTTCCCCTGTGCTGCTTTTGAAGCGTTTATCACTTGACAACCTACATGCCCAGAGACATGGGCATGTATGATGGGTTAAGACTGATTATATATTAGGTTTGCATCAAGTGTGGATGATACAAACACTTTGGCATTCCTGCTTCCCTGGATAGGGCAATTAGTACAGATTTAGCTACTCCACCCCTGTTCTAGTAATCACTTAGGCAGGATAATACATGTCTGCTTTTAAGCATCGCAGATAATTTAGCATGTGCTAAATCTGATCCTTATGAGACTGAACACTGCCTTTAAAATGTTACAATTTGTTTCCTCCAGGGACAGACTTTTGTGTCCACACAGCAAAGACTCCTCACAAGAGAATGACAGGTCTGGATTATGCACAGAGCAACCAACAGCTTTGAGGAAGCAGAAGGAGTTGTTAAAAGTTATACTGCCTGAGGAGCTAATTAAAATTTATAGGTTTGAATCTACTCCTTTAATACAGCAAAGGGAAATCCTATCAAAGAAATCCTATTCGAAAACAAACAGACATATTCACCAAAAAAACTCTACCAGCAATTATTTAGTTTGATGGTCCTGATGGAAACTCCATTTCAGGAAGTTCTTGGACTGCTGATTGAGAGGAAACAGGGGATGACTGATTTTGCACACTCTTTTCCAAAGTATCTGCTGCTTGCCATTGTTTGAGAAAAGATATTAGGCTGGATGGATGTTTTATTCCTTCTCATGTAATTCTGCTAGGCTCAGTCATGCCTCACTCCATGTCTCTCATAAATGCCTTCAGTCTGCTAACCTCTTAATGGGGTGTACAAAATTCTGGTGTAAAGGTATCAGTAAGGGCTGCCTAAGCTCTCATGTAAGTGCCTAGACCCTACCGAGCTGAAAGATGCACTATGAGAATCAGTATCAGTGTTTGTTGTTGTTTGTCAGTTACTGTTTGTACTAACAGTTCCTTTAATTGCATCAAGAACCCTAGTGAGCTTCGGGACAGAGCCATATCAATTAAATGGTGAGAAGATTTCATATAATCTATTTGCCTATGATAGAAGATAAGAGTCAGAGGCATATCTGGACTTCTGAAATCTCTTATGCCTGACAGTTTACTGAAAACATATTCTTTCTGTTTTGCAGCTTGTGATCTCTGTACTTTTGACAGTTCCCTGTGTGTTCAGGGATTTTGTGTAGAATTATTTTGTTTATTTCTCCCATTCTGAAAGTTCTTCAATAACATAAGAACATAAAAAGTCATTCTTATTCTCAAAGGGATATTTATTCTAAAGTTTCAAATGTACCTTTAAAAGTGGCTTGGGCTGAAAATCTTTTTGACTTTTCATTTCATAAAGAAGCTCAGGTGAAGCTGCCCTTTTAGATTTTTCACCAAGGGAGAGATTTTCTTCACACAGCTTGGAACAGGACTGTAAGCTGCTGTGCATAGGTCTTTGTTTTGTCACTAACATGTACTGCTAGCAGCATTCATTAGGCAACCCAGCACCTAACATACCTAATAAATTTACATTTTGCCAATCTCTTGGAATATACTCATGAGCCAAACAGCACTAGGCGAGTGAGTTGTGGAGAAACATAGACTTTTGACCTCTCATCTTCCCAGATTCAATGCTGACTTGTTGGATGATTTTATGCAACAAGTGATTTTATGCAGAGGTTGTAACCTCTGTGCTGCAGATGGGTGATCTGTAACCTTCCTTTGTGCCTGGATTGGAAGGGTTTGCTAACGGAACTGGGGCAGCCAGCATCAAGGGTTGCAACTGCATGATTTGCATTACTTCACTGTTAAAATCTTCCATCCCTTCCACCCACTTGTTGCAGCTGAGATATTTCTGCTTTTGTAAAATGTTTATTCAAGATTTTTCGTGCCTCTTACCTGACATCCTGACAGTTTTACCCATGCACCAAAAATTCCCAAAGGCCAAATGAACATGCCTTTTTCTCCCACAGGCTGGGCTCACAGCTCTCTCTGTACACCAGTGCACCTCCCTTAGCTGCTCTGGAAGTACGCTGACGCACGCGAGCGGAGCCTCTGACCCGCAGGATATGGCTTTCTCAGCTCTGGCAGCACGTATGTGGCCTCATTTCCTGCTGAATGGGTCTGCTCTGACGAGGAAAGTGCCTAATCAGCACTCTGGTGCAGCTGACACAGCTCAGACTGACTGCTCGCTGGAGCCTGGAGCCCCTCGCTCCCTGGGGCAGTGTTATTGAAATCATCAGCCTAAGTCGCTCTGGGTGAGACCTGCTGTGCAAACCCCCTTTGCCTCTCTGCAAAGTCACATCTGTCAGGAGAGGTAACCACAGCCTCTTGGCTTTTGCTTCCTGTCCTCCCTCCCTGGCTATTCTTAACCTGCCTTCTTTCTTTGAAAGGTCTTACTTGCACCCGCAAACCTGTCTCCAGAATCTGCTGCAGGATTCCTGCGAGTGGAATTGTGTCTTTCCCTTACAGCAGCACTGCAGTGTGGCAGAGAGACACAGTGGCATCCACTGCAACTCACACAGGGCTGCTTTGGCTGCACTCTAGCACTGGGAAAAAGGTCTTTGCAAGGCTGCAACTCTTGCCATGTGTTGATGGGCTAGGGTGGGCCTGCTTTCATACCTGGGATGCTGTTAAGAAGAGTTATGCTTGTTCTGAGTGATGTATGGGAGTTTGCTACCCACCTGCAGCAGTAAACTGTGTCTCTGAACTTTTCATCTTTACTTGGACGGATCAGGGCAACTACAGCTTATCACTTTCCCACACCTCATCCAGGCAGCATGCAAAGATGCTACCTTGCCTGCCTGAAACTTGTAATTGGAGACATGAGTTATGACTGAGTCTTCTTCAGAATCCAGCAGCTGGTAGCTCCCATGGCCCAAGGAATCCTAACTAAAAATTAATGTTTGCGATTAGAGATGAATAAGATCCAAACTGATTCATGTTGCCAAGTATGGAGGGTGTTTGGATCTGTATCCAAACTTTCCCATTCATTTAATGGGCCAAGTTACCTTTCAGCTGTAACAGTCCAGAGCTTCTGAACAATATGGTTTAGGATTAAAAATTCTGTCCCTGTATTTTTCCATGGCTATTTTGTGGACTGACATGTCAAAAATATTGTTTTGTGGATCCAGCTCCATGTCAACAGGAAAAACACATTAGATCTTTCAAAATGTAAGCATCATGCTTTTTAGGTCTCCGAATGTCATGCAGTGTTCACACCGTGTTTGGGGCTATGGTGCTATTGCCATTTATTTCTGACTCACTGGCAAATTGCTGGATAGGGTGATGTTGTTAACTGCAGATTTCCTTTCCCCCAGTGTAAGGTGTCCTTCTTCCATTCTCTTTTTCTTTAAGGGTTATGAATGAATGATATATCTGTGTAGGACCTGAGGTTTTGTGGCTGGGGTGCAGCCATACTTTCATGAATAAGTGAAATCCTTATTATTGATGATATATTGTATTTTTTGTTTTCTCTTTCTTCAAATGAGAGCACTTTTTTTTGTTCAGAAAAC